CCCCATTCTATCACATAAAAAGTTCAGCTATCCTGGGAAGAGACAAGGCCATATGAATAGGCCAGTTGAAGAGGCCATATGAAAGAGAGACCTTAATACTCAATGGAAAGACAGAGGAGCCTAACCTTTCTAGTGTCCCAGCTGAGCCTGCTCCCAGCTAGTTAGCTAGCTGAAAGCAGCCATATGTGTGACCATTGGCAAGACCAGGAGAAGAACCACTTCAGCTGAGTCAGTTCAGCTTGCAAGAATAAAGAACAAATAAAATGTTAAGCCACTAAGATTTGGGGTGGTTTGTTACACAGCAAAAGAAACAGTAGATGTGTTCCTTGACACCACAGATCAGGAGGCAAGTGAACAGTCTTGGAATCTCATCTCCTAAAGGTTTTTTTTTTTTTTTTTTTGAGATGGAGTTTCACTCTTGTTACCCAGGCTGGAGTGCAATGGCGCGATCTCGGCTCACCGCAACCTCCGCCTCCTGGGTTCAAGCAATTCTCCTGCCTCAGCCTCCTGAATAGCTGGGATTACAGGCACGTGCCACCATGCCCAGCTAATTTTTTTGTATTTTTAGTAGAGACGGGATTTCACCATGTTGACCAGGATGGTCTCGATCTCTTGACCTCGTGATCCACCCGCCTCGGCCTCCCAAAGTGCTAGGATTACAGGCTTGAGCCACCGCGCCCGGCCCCTAAAGGTTTTAGCTTTAACTTTGAATTTTGGTGCTCTGCTCTGCACAGAGGCCCAACAAGTCACAATTCCTTTCATCCCTGTAAATCTGATCAGGGCACAGGAGAGCCATCTAGTCATTCTGACAGTATATGTAGTTGAACAGAAATGTTTAGGGTAGCCCTCCAAATGTAAGGGTAGAAACAAGTGGAACGAGAAGCAGAGGGGAGAAGGAATGGGAGGAGTTATATTTAGGTTGAAGTGACACAGAGAATGAATGCTGGAGAATGCAGGGTTGGCTCCGGAAGGACGGGCGGTGGGGGGGGGGTCGTCACATCAAGTTTGGAAGATAACATTAAGGGGTGGGTTGTGGTAACTGGCTCCAGATATCAGAGAGGCCCACGGCTGTATGAATTTCTGTGAAAACTAGAACTTTCTACACGGAGCACTAATAGTAAAATTGTGATGTCCAGTATGGTGTGAATCTCAAGGATTATGTGTGTGTATGTGTGTGTGATTATGGTTGAGGGGGGAGAGAGGGAGAGGGAAAGGGAGAGAGAGAGAGAGACAGAGAGAGAGAGAGAGAGATCGAGAGAGAGAGAAAATGCACAAGATAAAAAAATGGATAGACCAAAAGAAAAATTTTTTCCTGAAGCTAAAAAGTAGATGACTTTGTAAAAAGTAATGTTTCTTTCATTTCCCTTTTTAAACACTCTCATCTAAGCAGCTTAAGAATCCCTGTATTTAGGGTTTTGGAACTAGGGATGAAGCGGGTGGTTTTCTTTCCTGGTCTGCCTGAAGGCCGAAGCTGCTGCTGACATCAAGCTTCTGTCCAGCCCAAGCCAGTTATCAGACAGAGCTAGGGCTCCAGGTGCAAACTTAAAACATAGACAATTCTCTTCCATGTTACTGTAAGTAACAGAAATGAAAATTGTGAATGAAAACCATCAGGGAAAACTTGTGACAGCAGGAGGTGGTGTTTGGGTACAATGCTTCCATCCACTGCATGGCAGAGAAAGAGCAGGAAAAATGAGGCCATCAGTCCTTGCCATCAGTCTTTGTCTCAGCTTTGAGAAGGACACACTCCCAGCTGTCTGTTGCTGTGGTTCACAGACCTAAATGGAGATTCCTTCTGTCCTGGCAGGTTCTCCTCAGTGGCCAAGCTCCAGGACAGGAACTAAGCCACAGTACATTTATTTCAGGCCAAAAAAAACACACATCCCTATTAGTGGGTAGGGCCAGGAAGGTGGAGCTTTTTATTAGCAGGATGTTTGGACAGAGACGAGGATGTTGAAAGCAGGAGTCAACACTTCCCAAAGTTCTTTCTTAAAATATGTTGTGTTTGACTTCGGAACTCCTGACTCACCCCCAGGCTGGGCATTCTGTCTTGGAGCTACTGTATTCCCAGGATTGCTTGGGGAGACCAGCTCATTCCCAACCTACAGTATCCACAGAAACATCTGCTATAGCTTATTAGAAAGTCAAAACAACCAACCATCAATTCATCATCTTTTCTGTTTAAGGACACATTCCTGTTGGCTGACGCATGCCCCTCCCCAAGGGTCATCCCCTGGAGCCTGTGTGTGTCTGTAAAACTGTGAACTGATTTTGATGATAGTTTGAACAGCCTTTCACATCCTAGTTTATTTAACCTTCTCACATGAATAGCAATACTTCTCTTTGGGGAATCACAGAATGATTACTGAATCATTAGATAAGCAGTGAGCCCTGGAAACAGGAAGCAAACAGTGGGCTTTCAAAGCCAACTTCCTTTCCTTCTCTTTTCATCCACAGGTGACACAGCATTATAGAAAGCAGTCTGTACTTGGAGTCAGTAGTCTCAGGTTCAGCTTGCAGTCCTGACAGGTACTGTGCGACCTGAGATAGCTAACTTGGCCTCTCTGAGTCTCAGTTTTCTCTTGCATAAAATGGGAATAATAATACCTATCTGGCTACCTACAGAGGATTTTTTAAGAGGTTGGAATAGAATACTGGGGTGGGAAGGCAGCTTAAAGGACATCTGATGCTTGAATTCCTTCCTATAACAACACCACAAATAAGCCATGCAACTTATCCTTGAACTCTTTCTGTGACAGGGAACTCATTCCCACAGACACTCCAGTGCAATGTGAGATAGCTGTGATTTATTTTGAGCTGAAAACTGCTTCCTTTAGCATTCCACCAATTGGTTCTTCTTCATGTAAATATGTAGAAACAAGTCCAACTCTCTTCTGAAAGAACAGCTTTTAGAATCTGGAGGTACTATCATGTCCCTAATATAGACAGAGCAGTCTCTGAGTATTCTCTCTACCAGGCTCAGCTTTTGGTTCTCTTCACTATCATGGTTATTGCTCTCCAAAGGTACTTTAGGTAATTTATAAACCTCAATGTAGCTTCTCTTGCACTGGTTATGGTATTCAGGATTTCTGAAAGGGAGAGAATAAAGAACGACATCCACCTCCCTTGTCCTAGATGCTGTGCCTCTGTTAATGCAGCGTACCCTTGGATTTGCTTTATTTGGTGGCCACGTCCCAATAGCAGCCCTTCCTCCTTCAGCAGCAAACATCTAGCTTTCTGATCACCACCTCCTTTCTTTCCAGCTTATTCCGTCTACTACCTGACTCAACAGTTTCTAAACCTCACCAGGACTTACTTTCCATTGATCATCCTGTCACTGTCCCTTGTCCCTCCCCTCTACCACATCCTCCCATTCCTTCCCCTCTTAACCAGCCTAGAGCTCATGACACAATTATAACCATTCCCTTGAGTAGACTGCAACTCTTTGGCTCTTTCCCTTTTTCCCTTGCCTGGCAAAATCCTCAACCCTGATTACGCTCTGCTGTCTTCATCTTCCTGCCCTTGGAACCAGACACTTGAACTTTGCTAGAGGAAACACAGAAACAGTTTAACTAGCTTAAGTTAAATTCATAAACAGTAACTCCGAGGGGGCCCAGAGAGGTGCCCAGTGATCATGTTCTAGCTTCCCAGTCTGGACATTCTGCCACTCTCCTAGATGACTAGGTTCCACTTCCTCTATCCTTAAACCTCCCCATCCTCACTCTATGCTGATGACCTTGTCTTCAAGTGAGTGGGACTCCCCCTCACTCACACCACCACCTCTACACGCCTGCTCCATCAGGGCCCAGTACTCTGCCTTCCCTTTCTCCCTGTGGATGGTTTTCTGTGCTCCAAGACTGAGCTCTTCAGGTGTGCAATGGATCCTTTGTCCTGCTTGCTTACTCGAGGACTTTTGCCCCCTATCCTGCAGTCCATCATTCATTTCCTCTTTTGACAGGATCATTTCCACCTTATAAACCATAATATTATTTTGCTCTCATCTTAAAAAACAAAACACAACAACAAAAACATTTTTCTTACTTCCAGATAAGGAAACCAGATAAGGAGACTCAGAAAAGTTTACTAACCTGGTCAAAGTCACATATCTAAAGAGTGGAGGGGACAAAGATCAAATCACAGTTTGCCCACCCCTAAAGCCCACCCACATGAGACTTTGTGGGCTCCAGCCCACTGCGCTGGTTCAAGAGGCTGAGATTGGGCAAGGGAGCACTTTGCCAAGGATGGGCAGGTCAGCTCTGCCAAACCTGTGCAATTTTGGAGCAGTAAGAAGGCTGGTGCTTTGCAAGTGAGAAGGGCACCCGCTTTGTCTTCAGAGGCCCACTGAGCTGCCGAAACTCTGGCTTGACCATCTTTTCTCACAGACTAAACATGGGAGTGTGAGGGCTATCATCAGGCCTCCATCCCAGCAGCATGTCAGCCACAGCAGGGTAAGTGGGTGGCCATGATGGCAGACAGATGGGGCAGGTGAGTGTGGGAGAAGCTGCCAGTATTGTGTACCCCAGTGAAAAGATGACACCTCATAAATCTTGCAGGCCCAGAGCCCATGTGGTCTGCCACAGTGCCTCACAACAAGGTGGAAAATAACCAAATGTGACATGCTGCCTTCCAATGCCATTTCATCAGAAGGGCGCACATCTTACCTCCACCACTTGCAACATCCCTACTTGTAATGAGAATTCTAGACCACTTAGGCCAAGAGCTTTTCCTCCCAGGACAACAGATACTTAACCACCTCCAGATCACAGCCTTCAGCCGTCAGCCCTCTCCTTCCCTCCCTTCTCTTCCCAGAGATTCTCCTAGAGAATGAGCCTATTTGGCGTCCAGACTTAACCCAAGGGGTCAAGTTGGAATTTTCAGAATACCTGGAAAAGCATGTATCTACTGCCTTTTCTTTATGTATCTGCCAAAACCAGTGTTGATTTCAGTCACAGCATCTCTTAAAAGTCCTCTTTCAAAAGGGACAGACTGGGTCCACTTACTTGTCTGTCACAGCCTGCATGAATTCATCCAGCAAGTCATCATACGCCTTCCCACGCACACGCTGGTGTTTCAGGCCAATGTACAGAGGGTCTCTGAGCAGCTCCTGGAACAGATAGCACCCATTGACTGAGCCTGCTCCCGGTGTTCCAGCTTCCCGCCTCCCCTCCACTCCAACAAGTATCCAGGATTACTGGGATGAACCAGGAGGTAGAAGGAGAAGAGGAAGTAGGAAGCTGACTGGACCGCCCACCACCCCCCACCCCCCGACCCCCGCCCAGGTGCCGTCTCTGAAAGGGTTTGGAGGCTAAGCCAGTGACTAAGGGTGGACTCTCAGGTGGTCCCCATTTTAGAAACCAAGGATGCTTTGAACCAGGCAAGTCTCTCTCAAACACGGTCTTTCAACCTCAACAGTGGCAGTACTCACATTTTGGCTGGGATAATTCTTTAACATGAGGGCTGACATGCATACTGTAGGATATTTGTCAGCATCTTTGGCCTCTAGCCACTAGATTCTAGCAACACTCACAGCTGTAACCATCAAAAATGTCTCCAAGGCCTGATGTGATGGCTCATGCCTGTAATCTCAGTACTTTGGGAGGCCAAGGTAGAAGGATCTCTTGAGCCCAGGAGTCTGAGACTGCCCTGGCCAACACAGTGAGACCCCATCTCTAAAAAAAAAAATTAAAAATTAGCTGGTCATGGTGGTCTGTGCCTTTGGTCCTAGCTACTCAGGAGGCTGTGGCAGGAGGATCACTTGATTCTGGGAGGCCAAGGCTGCAGTGAGTCATGATTGCGCCACTGCACTCCTGGCCCAGCCTGGGCAACAGAATGAGACCCTGTCTCAAAAAATAAAAATAAAAAAAAAAGAAAAGAAAAAGAAAAAGAAATGTCTTGAGACATTGACAAAGGTCTTCTTAGGGACAAAACTGTCACTGGTTGAGATCCACTGTGGCCGACTTTAGGCAGCATCTGCATTGAGGCTTTGGGTCTCATCCAGAGTCCCTGGTCTGGAGTCATATTAGAAAACCAACCCACTCTTCTATCCTTTTCATTCCTCTCTTTTCCTCCCCCTTCCTTCCCTCCCTCCTTCCTTGAAATCTTACTGAATACCTACCATGTGCCTCACACTGTGCTAGGCCCTGAGGATACAAGCATAGAATGAAACAACCAGGAACTTCATTTCAAGAAAGATGCTCACCTTAACACCTAGCCTATGTTCAGGGCCCCTCCACCCAACCTCCTGCAGCTCTTTCCTTCACAGCAATCATATGCTATTGGGTTATCTGTGTCTGCGTTGGTGTGAATGACCACTCCCGCTGGCTGACTTACTTTCCACATCTTCCATTCCTCCCACCCAATCACAGATTCAGTGGACTCATTCATGCATGACACATTTATTTCTCATTACTGTTGCTGACACTGGGCCCAGTGGGGGATTTGTAGAAAAGTAGGAAATGGTTGTTGCCTTCTAGGTGCTGACAGGTGGCTGCTGAGTAAACTAACACATTCTACTGCAGGGCAGAGTGGCGCTGCTTTGGAACAAAGTGTGGCACATGGAGGCACAGTGATGAGTGAAGAAATTCCCCTTAGTGTGCAGATTGGGATTGTGTCATACAGAAAATGGTCAATCAGGAAGAGACAGGCAGGTTTCAGCAGGTGGGCCTCTAGGCGGAGAAGTCAGCACTAAGAAAGGTTGGGGGCTGGTCGATGGAGGAGGAAGTACCTGGTATATTTGGGACATGGGAGGTAATTCCATGTGTTAGAATTTCTGGGAATTATCTATGTTTTGTCTGACTCACTAAAAATATAAGTTCCTAGAGGACAAGGTTTTGTGTTATCTTCACCTCCATCTGAACTGCTGGTGCAGGACACAAAGATTAGGACAAGTGGGCCTACGCCCCGACCCTCGGGGGCTTATAGTCAAGTGTCACCTCCACCACTCTCAGCTCTGTGACTTTGGGCAGGTTATGGGGCTTCTCGAAGCCTTCTTTTCATCTGTCAAGTGGAGATGAAGTATGGGCTGCATAGGGTGATTGTGATGATCAAGTGAAAAAAATATATGTGAAAGAGCTTGGTGAATTATAACGTATGCTATAAAACAGTGGTAGCAGTTTTAGCTTTCACGGTGTCTGCAATGTGTCATGTATTGTTCTAAGTGCTTTACTTAACCCAGTGAGGTCGCATCAGTTACAAAGGTGTGTGGCTCAGAACTGTCTTAAGGGAACCTGCTGAAGGAGGGCAATTGGTGGACAGCCTTTAGCTGCCACACTCTCCCTGGATTGCTTAAGGACTGAGCATGGAGGGAGTGTAGAGTTAACCATTTCTGCCCAACTGAAACTCTGCAGGGGCAGGAACTTCCCACTGGTCTGACTGAGCTGGAGAGACTCTCCCCAGGCTGCCCTACAGCCCAGGGTCTCTTACTCCCTCCCTCCTGCTCTCTCTTCACAGGTGGCTGACCTGTGCTACAGTCTGAAGGCTCCACTCACCCCCAACTCCTCCTACTCCCTCCCCCTTTATTCTTCACCGGTGTCGCCCCAATACCTCTCTCATATCTATTTCTCAAAGGACCCAAGAGGTAGGTCTCATCATTTCCCCCATTTTATAAATGAGGCAACAAGACACAGAGAGGTTAAGCAACCTGCTTAAGAGTTGGGTCTCATAAGTGCAGGAGTCAGGATTCAAAGCCAGGGCCAGAGTCTATGGTTGGAAGCACTCAGCCAGGCTGCATAGGTGGTTCTTCTGCATACCAACAATAATCAATTTTTCTTTTTAAGGACACTCTTTTGGGTCCATACTGCTTTAATATCACTGTAGTAGGTGTTGGGGAGGGTGTAGTTTAAGGGACAGAAAAGAAGAGGAAGTAACTGTGTTCTTACCCTTTACCGCAAATCCCAGGTACACATAAGATCTAAGGTGGGGTTAGCACTTTGTCAAAGGAACCATAGTTTTACATTTAGAAAGACGGTGGGTCCTGGCCTCCTCTTTCACTTTCCTCATTCCCTGGATTGAACACCCTTGAAACTGTTTAGGATTCTTCCCTGGTAGAGGTGCGTGCGTGCATGCGTGCATGCGTGCGTGGAGTGTGTGGGGGACCTAAAGTGTGAAAGTGGTGCATACATGGGGCCTACCCTTCCACATGCCACCTTCAAAGTGACCATCAGAAGCCACTTAGAAGCAGCAAACATCCAGAAAGAAGAAATGATACATGATAGTAGAGTAACTTGAAATAGCTAAGCAATAATTAAAATTGGTGGTTTTTAGACTATGCAGTCACCTGGACAAATTTGTAAGAGATTATTTACAGTGGAAAAAGCAGAATATAAATACACAGATATCATAATTATAACTATCTGAAACACACAGAGCTTGGAAGGACGTACACAAAAATGATTGAAAATAGTGTTTCTCTTGGTGTTGACAGAAAATATTCACTTTGCTAGTTTGTATAGAGATTAAAATGGTCCGTGGTGAGTTATAATTTAGGATGCTGCCAAATCACAGGTTTGAATCTTGGTGCACCAGGCAGCATAGAGTGAATTTCTCAATCCTGTGTATGCAATTTCTGGGGTAAGTTAAGTTCCTCAGTGGTACTAAAGAATTTTTAGATTTTCAAAAAATTTCTCAGTATACTGCAGTAAAGATCAAAGGTCACCCATAATGAGATACTGTTGAGATACAAGGGTGACTATAAAAAGCTTTTAAAAAGTCTTTATATTTTCCTTTCATAATAAAATGTTCTATGTCTCAGATACTTTAACCACAAAAAATGAAAAAAAAGTTTCCATATGGACATGATGTTAAAATATAGCTTCTTATGTTTTTTATAGAGTTTTAAAGTAATTAACTCATTTGTTCATTCTAATAGTCTGACCTCTTCTCATCCCATTTTACAGGAAGTTGGAGTTCAAGGGTTTAAGTAAACTGCCCATGTTCACAGAACCAGAAAGTAGCTACGCTGAGATTGAGCTTTGTCTGGGTCTCATGACAGCGTCCTCTTCAATCCATCACTTGATATTGTGGGGACCAGGGAACCAGGGAACCAAAGGGCAGCTCCTCACCCTCTGCCTGGTCCTTCTGGAAGAGGTCACTAGTGGCTGCAGGCTCTTATCCTGCAGACCAGGCTGGGGAAAAGGGAAAGCTGGAATGGGTTCAGGGGAAAGGCTGTGTCCACATCTCTAGTCAGCTGGTTTTCCTTTAGCAGGAGTGGCAATGGCTTCTCTAAAACAGTACTGGGCTGAGCTCCCATGGCTGACTTGGCACAACATAGAACAAGAAGTTCACATTCTGCTGTGTGTCCACCAACTGACTGATATACAAGAATGCCTGGCAGCAAGGGGTAGGAGTAGCAACCTGCCTGCTGCCTGGACCCCCTCCTTGCAGCCCTTCTCTATCTTGACTTCTTCACATGTGTTTAGAAGAGAAGATTTCACCAGATAGTATCGCCAGATAAAATACAGGATGCCTAGTTAAATTTGAATTTCAGACAGGCAATAATTAAAAAGAAATGTTTACAATTAAATGTCACCCATGTATTACATGGAATACACTTAGGCTAAAAACGTTGAATTGCTTATCTGAAATTTAAATGTCATAGTGTATTATATTTTTATTTGCTAAATCTGGTAACCCTATCAATACAGGCAGAGGAATCTTCAAATTTGGAGGCAATGTGCCACAGGGGAAAGGACACTACTGGACCTGGTGGCTCTGGTCAGGATGCTTCCCTCTGAGCATCCTCAGTAGGGCCCAAAGGAGCTCTAGGCTTCCAAGTAAGATAGACCTGAGTTTGAATTGAGGCTTTGTCACCTAACTAACTCTGTGGCTTTGGGCAAGGTATTTAACTTTTCTCTGCTCTCTGTTAAATAGGGACAATAATGATTTCTATCACACAATGCAAGCTCTTTGAGCTCCTCATTCATCTGTATCTCCCCAGAGAATTGTACAGTGATGGCACACATAAGCCCTTGAGAAGCATTTAGTGATACGACTGTCAGAGTCCTGGGACTGGGCTAAGGAGTTGCTGAATTAAAAACTAAGACGGTCTTAGAATTCACTTGGTTCAGCTTCCTCCAAATGAGTTTTTGAAGGTTGGAAAGAATAAAT